CACTGGCCCTCATATGTGGGATCCGAACCGGGGCCCTCTGGCGTCCCAAGCCAGCTCTTAACCAACGTGCCACTAGGCCGGCCCTACTTCTGGTTTTTTATTGTGCATATTACATGGAATCATGAATATACATATGAAGTGGCTCATATATTGAATATTTTAATATATTAATTTTTACACATTTTGGCCCTAAGAATAAATTATTAATGCTTAGCCAATAAATATTGAAATACTTTCTGATGTTTTTGATTATCAGCTTTTCAGTTGATTATTTAAAATATTTTTTATCTTTATTATCTTTTGATTCAGTGTTACACTGTAAAATTCACCAGTACATTATGCACCAGTGTTCCTGGTGTAATGCTTATCAGATGGGAGCATTTACCAAAGAGCCAATACTGAGGCCAATAGTTCTTTAGACAGGCTCCTAAATATTATATTAAGTTTAAATATTAAATTTGAAGTATTAAATTATACATTTAAGAATAAATTTCTAATAGATGACTTTTTCTCTTTTTAAAAAGGTACCCAATAACAAATATAATCAGGCTGAATTTCAAATAACACTTTTGAAAACTTTTCTTTCATATATTTTATTATTGAAAATTTCAAACATATATAAAAGTAGAGAGAATAATCAATTCCCATGTACCCTAGTACAATAAATATCAACTTATACCCATCTCATTTCATTTATATCCTACTCAAATTTTATTCTTTTCTAAATTGTTTTTGTTTTTTAAAATTGAAGTAAAATTGCTGTTTGGTTGTTGGAAAAGTTATGACACATTTTTGCAACAAAAAAACAGAAAAAATACATCATGACTTTTCCGACAACCCAATATATAACATTTTATAAATTTCAAGTATGCAACATTATAAGTTGAAATCTGTGTACACTATAAAGTGACCACCACTAAAAGTTTAGATACCATCCAACACCATAAATTCACTCCCCTTCACCCATTTCACCTACCCATCCCCCCACTCTTCCTCCCCCCTGGTAAGCACCAATCTGTTCTCTGTATCTATAAGTTTGTTTTCATTTTTTAGATTTCACATATGAATGAAATTATATGGTATTTTCTTTTTCTGTTTGACTTAGCATAATACCCTCAAGGTCCATTTATGTTGTCATAAATGGCAAGATTTCATTGTTTTTTATAGCATAGTAATATACCACTGTGTGTGTATATATGTTTATATACTCATATATATCACATCTTCCGATCACCTATCAATGGACACTTAGGTTTCCATATCTTGGCTATTGTGAATAAAGCTGCAAGGAACATAGGAATGCATGTCTTTTCAAATTAGTGTTTTTGTATTCTTAGGATAAATACCCAGAAATGGAATAGATGGATCATATGGTAGAATCTCCATGCTCTTTTCTATAGTGGCTGCACCAACTTACATTCCCAGAAGTGTATGAAGGTTCCCTTTTCTTTACACTCTCTCTAACACTTGTTATGTCTTGTCTTTTTGATAATAGCCATTGTAACAGGAGTGGGGTGATATCTCATTGTGGTTTTGATTTGCATTTTTCTATTAATTAGTGATGAATATCTCTTCATGTACCTGTTGGTCTTTTGTATGTCTTTGGAAAAATGTCTGTTTATGTCCTCTGCCCATTTTTTAATCAGGTTGTTTGTGGTTTTGTTGGTGAGTTGTGTGAGTACTTTTTATATGTTTTGGATATTAAGATCTTATCAGATATTTGACTTACAAATATGTCTCCTATGCAGTAGGCTGATTTTTCATTTTGATGATGGTTTTCTTTGCTGTGCAGAGCTATTTAGTCTGATATAGTCCTATTTGTTTATTTTTGCTTTTGTTTCCCTTGCCTTTGGAGTCAGAGCCACAAACACACCACTAAGACTCATGTCAATGAGCTTATCACTTGTGTTTTCTTTTAGGAATTTTATGGTTTCAGGTCTTACATTCAAGTCTTTAATCCATTTTGGGTTAATTTTTGTGTATGATATAAGAAAATGGTGTAGTTTTATTGTTTTTACACATGACTGTCCAGTTTTCCCAGCACCATTTTTTGCAGAGGCTCTTCTTTCTTCATTCTTGACTCCTTTGTCATAAATTATTTGTTCATATATGTTCATCTTGGCTCTCAATTCTGTTCCATTGATCTGTGGTCTGTTTTTATGCCAAGACCATATTATTTTGATTACTATAGCTTTGTAGTTTGAAATAGGGGAGCACAATACTTCTAGTTTTGTTCTTTCTCGAGATTACTTTGGCTATTGGGGATCTTTTGTGGTTTCATACCAATGTTAGACTTATTCTAGTTCTGTAAAAAATGTCTTTGAAATTTTGATAGGGATTGCATTGAATCTGTAGATTGCTTTGGGTAGTATGGACATTTTAATAATATTAATTCTTCCAATACATAAGCATGGAATCTTTCTATTTATTTGTACTTCTTCAGTTTCTTTCATTAGTATCTTATAGTTTTCAGTGTACATGTCTTTTACCTCCTTGATTAAATTTCTTCCTAGGTTATTTTATTCTTTTTGATGCAATAGTAAATGGGATTTTCTTAATTTCTCTTTATGATTGAACCTATTAGTGATGTTAAGTGAGGACTTACTGTAAAGTGTTTCTCTGCTTTCTGTGAGCCATTCTAGCAAGTTATCAAACCTGCAAAGGTGGTCATGGGACCACCTTTTGTTACTTGTTTTCTGGTTGCTTTTATAGTTTCTCTCTGTTCCTTCCTTCTTCTCTTTCTGTCATTCCTGTGGTTTCATGGCTTTAATTAGTATTATGTTTGGATTCTTTTCTCATTCTTTTCTGTATTTAGTATTAGTTTTTGATTTGTGATTACCATGAGTTTCATATATAACATTCTATGTATAGTACAGTCTCTTTTAAGTTGATAGCCACTTAAATTTGAATACATTCCAAATATTTACATTTTTACTCCCCCCTCACATTTTTCTATGTTAGATGTCATATTTTACATCTTTTTATTTTATGCATTCTTGAAGTTTCACTAATTTTGTCTTTTAACCTTCTTACTTGCCTTTCTAGCTTATTAGTGACTCACTAGCTTTACTGTATATACCTTTTCCTGTGAGATTTTTACTTTTTTGTTGTTGTTATTTCTTAGTATCATTTTTTTTTCAGTTTAAATAAGTCCTTTTAACATTTCTTGTAAGGCTGGTTTCCTTTAGCTTTTGTTTATTTGTAGAACTCGTAATCTCTCCTTCAAATCTGAATAATAACTTTGCCAGGGAGAGAATTCTTTGTTGGAAGTTTTTTCGTTTCAGCACTTGAATATGTTATGCCACTCCCTTCTGGCCTGCAAGGTTTCTGCCGAAAAATCTGCTGAGAGCCTTATGGGGTTTCCCTTGTGTGTAACAAGTTGTTTTCCTCTTGATGCTTTTAAGATTCTCAATTTAACTTGTACCATTTTAATGATAATGTCTTGGTGTGTATCTCTGGGTTCTTCTTATTTGGTACTCTCTGGGCTTCCAGGACCTGGATGTCTACTTCCCCAGATTAGCAAAGTTTTCAACTGTTTTAAAATAAGTTTTCAGGCCTTTTCCCTTCATTTCCTGGGATCCCTATAATGTAAATGCTACCCCACTTGATGTTGTCACAAAGGTCCCTTAAGGTATTTTCACTTAAAAACAATTTTCCCCCTTTTTGCTGCTGTCTTCTGTTTTGAATCATTTTTTATAAGTTTGATCTCTTTGTTCAAGATATCACTGTGCTTATTCAGTCTACTCCTGAATTTGATGAGCTACTTTATGACCATTACTTCAAACTCTTTATCTGGTAGATGGCTTATCTCCATTTCATGAAGGTCTTTTTCTGAGGTCTTGTCTTGTTTT